AAGCTGCCACTGAACTTAGGAAGTAGAACATGATGAGACATTATATGGTGAAATAATTAGACACGAAGAGAGTGAAGGTTATATCACAAAAATGAATAACATAATCAAGATTGAATTATAGAACTAAAGAGTAAAAGTTCCTATTGAAGTTCAATGGGAAATAAAGTATTCTCAAGCCATGCAAATCTAGGCGATTAAAGCCAATGAATATCATTTATATATTATCTATTACATACTTATAATATAGACAAAATGAACCCTAAAGGTGATGTCTTTGAGAATTTTATAGCAATAAATAAATAAAATTTGATTAATGTTACACCCGAACTAAGAACAAATTAATGGTAACTGCTAAGAATTATTTATGGACTGTTATTACATATATTCTTATTGCGTAATTATTAAGTAACTAGATTATATACATTCGTATTCATTTAATTTGATAATAGCCATTGTGATACGATTTACCATTCTTAACTTATCCCGATTTATTAGTTACAGACTTTCACACTTACAACCACTTTTTGCTTGATCATGTATGGTTGTTACATTTTATTTTATGGTGTGATACGGTCCGGTTTGCTTGTATACAAACCACTTATGTCTGAAATGGTTCATACAGTGGAGGCTGAGATTGCTTTCTCGGCTCGATGGGTAGGGCCAAGCGAGAAAGACCAATAATGATTCAGAGTTGATACAAGGCTGCTACTGTTGTCTTGATGTATCATTGGTTTAACACAAGAACAAGGTCATACTAATTTAATAGTCGAATTCATGAGTCAATTCAAGCTAGACTACCATGGAAAACCGGGAAGCACTGGACATCAGTTTCGTCCAAGTATGGGACTTCTCAGCAGCGCGCATCCATGATCCCGCACGCTGGACGAAATAGCCGTCCAGTGCTTCCAGGTTTTCCAGAGTGGTCTAGCTTGAATCGAATCATGAACTCAACTAGTAAATCACTACAATTTCCACAAACCTTCATTGTGATAGGGTCAGTGAATCAGTCAGTAACAACGTGGAAACTCGTACGTACGTACATCAATTCGAGTTGCCACACCACATTAGCACAGAGATGCAGTTATCGATTCAAATTCCGTAGTGGTAGAGGTTGTAAGAGTTTAAGCAGTAATAGAAAACATTAGGGTTTTAAGATATTATTCAAAGAGTATAATACAGCGAAACAAATTTGGAAAGAGAAAAAAGAAAGGGACATGAAGAATTCAGAAGATTAGAATTTGGGAGAACACAAAGAGTGGATGTACCTGCGCCATTACAAACGATTTTGAGCCATGTCATTCAGCGTCTCTAACCATCGGTTGCTATCATCTCGCGGTCCCCAACAAGGTAGTCTACACCTACCGACATGGATCAGTCCACTTGTCAGTGACTTCATGGATTTGTGCCATGTTTTGGTCTGGCCGCCCCTACCTTTCTTCCAACCTACTCCTACACCATAAAACATCGCACGTCGGGGCAGTCGGTCGTTGGGCATACGTAACACGAGTCCCAGCCATCTCAACTGATGAAGTTTCACTACTTCATCAAGTGATTTGCCATCCTTACCTAGTACCCGTTTCCTAACAACTGAGTTACTTACTCGGTAGTTCCAGGATATACGAACAATGTTTCGAAGACACCTATGATCGGATATTAGTAACCTACGAATATTTTCTACTCTTACTGGCCATTTTTCACTTCCATAAAGTAGGAAGGAACGAACTGCTGCACAGTAAATACGTCCTCTGGTCGATAGACGGATATCTCGCCTACGCCATAAATGACGCAAGTTGGAGAAAGATAGTCGAGCCTTCTGTATCCGTGCTCAGATTTCGTCACACACCAGACCACAAGGGCTGATGAGACTTCCGAGATAAGTGAAGCGATCGATACGCTCAATTACTTCACTCCTTATCATTAGTTCGGGTGTCAATGCAACCCAATCCTGAAGCAACATTTTGCATTTCGAGGGGGAGAATCGCATCCCGAACATGCCTGCACCGCTGCTTAGAGTGGTCAGAAGACTCTGCATTTTGTCAGCGTCTTCACCAAATAGAACTGTCATCGGCATATTCTAAGTCAACAAGTGAACCTCCCGGTAGAAGTTCAACCCCTGTAAAATTAGATGAGGAAAGTGTTATCTCTAAAAGCACATCAATGACAAAGTTAAACAAGAATAGAGAGAGTGGGCAGCCCTGACGAACACCACTTGAGGTAATCAATTCTGATGACAGTTCGCCGTAAGCTCTCACTCGACCAGTTGTGTTCGAGTAGAGAGCCTTTATAAGGTTAATGTAACTCTTTGGTACTCCTTTCAGTGACAAACACTATCATAGAACTTCACGATCAACAGAGTCAAATGCCGCCTTAAGGTCGAGAAATACTACAATTGTGGGGCGTCTGATTGTGTGCCTATGTTCTAGGACCTGGCGAAGTGTCAATATCTGGTCTATACAACCACGTCCAGGTCAAAAACCAGCCTGATTTTCTCTAGTCTGTTCTTCACGAGCTTTGGTTAGGCGTCGAAGTACTATTGAAGTTAACATTTTAGATACTATATTAGTCAAACTGATTCCTCTGTGATTGTGACATGAGGACTTTTGTCGTTTCTTCTAGACTGGCTCAAACGATTGTCCCTTGGGCTCCGCGGTCACGCTCCCAGGTCGTTAAGGCCAACATTAATCCAATTTCCTTTTTAGGTTCCTTAAGAAATAGCCTTCCACGCTGTGGGCAGCTGGGAAGTGACATCAGCCATTATTACCTGTAACAGCACACGAAACCAAGTTGGTAACATTCAAATCTGATAGGGTCATATTAGTTCCTATTTTGATTGGCGATTTAATCACGTGATAACTAATAGGGTAAAAATGATAACAATTAGATAAGTTATTTATGTATGTACATTTTGATGAAAAGGAAGTTCTCCTTACCTTCTTCAACTAATTCTCCAATAAAAACTTTTGTTAAGCCAGCCATAGCGATAACTACATTTTGTGAAACTGAACATGGAACTACAGATTGTATTAGCTGTGGACAAAAGCAAACAAATTATATTGTTAAACTTTTCTTCTTACAAAAGTTCATAAATTGTATTTGTTTACAGAATATTAAATCATGTGACATAAAAAATTAAGACTAAATGGGAATAAGAAGATTTAAATAAATAGTTGCGTACTTTTGAGAAACCCTAATCTAGGACAAAACAAATATTAAATATTCCCTTCTTTTTAGTGGTGCCCTAAATGAATTCAATCAGTAACAAACATCATTCTCAAATATGAATATGTTCATCAAAGAGAAAAAAGGATATCTACGTTGAACAATACATTAAGATTAGCTTCAATTTAAACTAACACAACTAATACCAGGTTATTTGAATTTAGATTACAGTTCTGAAGGCTAACGAATGGAAATCACTCTTTCGTACTTACACGTAGGTTTTTAAACCACAAATTTCTCGAATCAGGATGGCCAGTTAAACGAATGAAGTGATGAACACTTTAATTGAATCGAAAACAATACCATGACAGTAATACTAAGTAAGCGAAATGGAAAACACGGTCATTACTCCTTTTTTTGTCAAAATGAAATCCCATAGAGATGAGAACTATCTGATTAACCGTTAAGAAAAAAAATATTTTACACTGAAAAATGAATAATATGAAATTTAGTTTTGTCCCAAAATAACATCAAGATGTACTGAATAGTTGTTCCATCCTATTTGGGACTTTTCAGGAATGTTCACTCATAACTCCAAACGAGTTTGAATACGTAACTATCAAATCGTTCGGATGGTATCACATCTTTAGATCAGCGAAATTAGGATTCGATGATTCCGTTATAACCTGGATTTTCACGTGAACATAAATATACTTGTTCGATCTAGTAATTAAGATAGAGATGTGAACGTCACAGACTATATTGACAGAAATTACAAACTGGAAATATAAATGTGCACAAATTGTATAAGTAGTCAGTTTTACACAACACGTAAGTCTATTCGCGTAATCATAGAATTCGAGACCAACTAGGTGACAATAAGCTGATTTTGGTTGAATATTTTCAGAATAAATAATCTTTGATGCTTATTGATATGCTCAGTGGTTTGGTGTGATATGATCTATCCACAGTTGGGACTAAACATTTATTCATCATTGATGCGTGGTAGTGAAAGTAAAATGTAATTGGTCATTGAGCGTGAACAAAGAGGCAATTAGCTTACTGATTATTAAATGCATGATCTTTTTTCCTCTCATTGATTTCTACTTCGGACTTATTGAAAGTGACCACTTGTAACTGTGTTGAATAATGTACTAACTAGTGTTCTAGTTCTCTATTTTGGGTCGTGGATTCTTGTCTACTTAGCATATTAGTATCGTAGTATACCTGAGAGAGGGAATATTTTAAACCACCCGTTATATAAACCATAGTAATCCATTAAGCGTTCCAGAAAGATTTGTACTTCAATGTTGTTGATGTTTAGGTACAGATTTGACTAGTCTCTGTTAACATCACAACTTAACTAGGTTTCCGGTATGAATAATGATAAAATCCATGACACGTGCTCCGTTTTGATATATTTGAATTCCAGTCTCCGACTTCTCTACTTAGGTAAGAACCCATTCAGTGAATAATAAGTATCATATTTATTGAATAAGTTGATTGCTATTCTGATTAAGTAGCTGACTAGATAATCATCTTACGTGTGAAACGATGAGTTCGAATCACAATGTGAAACTCAACACTAAGATGTATGTACCTCCAGTTTAAATTGAAATAAAACGCCTATCACTGATCCGAATACCAGCCATTACCCGAATCTGTTATAAATAAACTCTTATTACTATCACAATTTAAAATAATTATGGATTTATACATTAGAATAACAACACTAAGACTACTCTACTACTACTGATACTAATACTAATACCAATACCACCAATACTACCACTACTACTACTAATAATAATAATAATAATAAACCTCTAGTTTGTCACTTTTTATTCAAGAAAAAAGTCGGTGAAATTCACACTAGATTTATTCATCATGACAAGTGAATTAAATTTTTTTTCTAGTTTTATGATAAATCAAAACAAGGTAACATTTTCAAAGTGTATAAACATTAGAATAACACGGATTTATTGTTTAAAACATATATTGTTTTGTAATTTTGTAAGTCAATTTGAGTAAAACAGCAATCGATAGAAGTTAGTACTAAAGATGAAAACAAAAAAAATAAGAACTCTTGAAAGATGCTTTTTCACTTAGTGCTTATTTAGTTTAACTATAATAATTTTGTTATTATCCCTGTCATACAAATATGAATATCAATTGTGTAGAAAGGAAAGTAGAGTTATTTTTTAAAAATTATTATCTATACATATAGTATACCATTGAACAACAAGAGATGTAGTTGACTGTTCACAGTTATTCGACCAATAATTACAATAATTAAAGAAGTTGAAAGGAATCAACCGAAAGATCTTGATAATGAGATCCATATTCACTAAAGTCCAATTGAAACTAATCTTAATATTATTGAATATTGTAATATTGTATATTTATAAACGCTAAAATCTTATTCAAACAGTTACATGGCGAGATTATAATTTATGGACGAACCAATCATGTATAGAATAACAGGTCTTTGATTTTGGCGAGAAATTCATTCATCCATTTGGCATTATAGCTTATGTCAGTTCGTGATGAAAACCCTAAATCTAATTCCTAACCTTAACTATCAACTGTAAATCATAATTAAAATTCCTCACACAGATTTATAATTCACATTTGGTCCTAGTTATTAAGTGGACACTCTCAAGGTTAGTCTAGCGTCGCTCAAAGGTCATCCGAAGATTATAGTCTCACCAGTTACATTTCTTAATTCAGTTGAAATGGAAAAGAACGTTTGGTTGTGTTAAACTGACAAAGCTAATGAGAATTTAAATGATCGAAAAAATTATTTAGTGTGAAAAAAATTATTTTATAAATTAGTCGTAAACCCAACAGTTTAAGCCGTATTTCTTCATAATTTAAACTTAGTTGGATCCGATGAGAAAAGGATCTTTCTAAATCCATCCAATCAAAAACCAATGGATATTATATTCCTGAATACTTAGTATACTACTGAATAGAAGTAGTTACACACTATGTGCACTAATTGAGAAACTGAACAAACCAATTAAGCACGAACTGAATAAGAAACAGGTGTTTTTAATGTTCTAATGATGAAATTTATTGAGCTATTAATAATTGTTGACAGATTGTGTGATTAATTAATAATATTTAAAGTATTCAACAATTCCTTAGTTTCACCGTTCTGTCTAAACTATTTAACTGTAAAGTGAGGAACACTGAATTCTCATTCAGTGGTTCAGTAGTAGATTGCTCATCGTGAGACCTGAAAATCCTGCTATTGGTGCTGTGTGGAATAATGGTTGAACATTGATGAGACGAAGTAGCTGTTAAATTCCGTCTTATTCTCAAATTTTTGTTTGATGATAACAGTTCATGATGAAAAATAACCTCAGGTTGTATAGAGTCAAGATAAAAGCACTTAAGTATTTAATTATGCATTCTCGGCTTCGAAAACTCAAATTTGTCCATATAAAAAAAAAGAAACTCAACTCCGAATCGCTAATAGGTAACTTGGATTTAAATTAAACAAATGAACTTATCACTGTGGATACTTATGACAGTATAATGTCTACTTATGGTCCGTTATGTAGAGTATTTTGATTACTTTTTAAAATATGGATGATACTTATGATATTTACCAAGTTATTTACTAAGGAAGTCCTCCACTGATCACATTTATCGGTGAGCATTAGGAAAAAAAACTTGCAATAACATTATTACTAAAAACATAATAACTATACGAATTTAAGTATTAGCCAACAGACTTTACTTAAGTTATCGAATTTATTCATTCTTTTCAAATCATACTCTCTGTTTCATTGTTTTCATTATCACTAAAAATTCTACTAATCCTACTACGGTACTAAAATTCATTTTGATAATTTTATCTCTCTTTGTAAAATTGTGGTATGGCAATTTAAACCGATGCACGGGTTAGGTTACAAGTTGCTTACGACTGATCAACTTTCCCTTCCCAGGTTGTTTAGTGAATAAAGAGTGCAAGTAAATGTGCTGCTGAACACATTAACTGTCCTGTCACATATTACCATCATCGCAAATTTCTAAGACTGGTCAAAAATTTTTGAATTATCTACTTGAAATAACTTTCGTCAATGACTTAAGTAGCTTAATTTGCGATCTAGTTCTCCTATTTAATTTGGTTATAGATAAAATCAAAAATTAATAAGTCATTAACTCAAATTAATGATTGATGCTAGTTCACAAAGAATAAATAAAACAACAGGAAAATGAAACTATAAACTTACTCGTCTTACTACAGCTTTAGTAAATGTAGCTCTTCGAAATGTTTCGAATCGATTTAACTGTTCCTCATCAAAATGTGCCAATAAAGCCAGTAATTTACGATCTTCTATTTTTCTTGCTTCTTTTTCTTGTAGTAGTGCAGATGATAGAATTTCACTGACAACAGATTCAGTATCTGCATCACCAAGTACAGTAGCGCTGTCATCTTCATCGTCCTCTTCTTCCTCTTCATCATCATCTTCCACTTCTTCTTCATCGTCATCATCTTCAACTGTTTCTTCATCATCTAACAAATTAGTATTGGTTAAAATTTCAACTTCACATTGATTTGTTACAGTTTCTGATATATGAGTAGATGATGAAGGAACAGATGAATGATCAATGACTGAAATAATATTAGATTCACCTCGTTTAGTTTGTGATGAATCTACATTGTGCTTAAAAAGAAATTGGGACGAAATAAGATTGAACAGAATTATCATTAATATTTTGTGTTAATTTAGTAAAATATCTGTGACATAAAAGCAAAGAACATTAAAATCTCAATAGTTGAAATCATGAGTCAATTGAAGCCAGACCACCATGGAAAACCTGGAAGCACTGGGTGGCCGTTTCGTCCTAGTATGGGACTCCTCACCAGTGAGCGTCCACGATCCCGCCCCCCCGCGAGATAAAAAAATAAGAAAGGCATTTCCTTATCAATCTATATTCTAATAGACAGTAATATCTATAGGGTATACAAAAATATTAAACAAATTCAGGCAGTTTATAACAATAGATTACATAATTAAACATAATCAGTAAAAAGTACGAATTGATAGTGTGATGATAGGTGTACAAGTTGTGATAAGAATAAAAAAAGGTTTGGATCAACGTTTTATCATAAAAAGTAGGACACTGAAATAACATTTATTTAAAGTTGTTAAAATTACGTAATAAGAAGTATCCAAATAATTAGATAGTGAAGAATAAATTCAGAAAAGGGGTAAAGAAAAATGAACGAACAACGAATATGGATAATAATAATAATAAGTAAAACTGTTTGTTAAGCTTAGTTCCATCAAGGAAGAGATAAGGGTGTTACAAATTTCTTACGATTACAAAGACTTGGGTAGTTAGCAGGAATCTCTATAGCTTCTGACTTATGGAAAAGACGGAATCAAACCTCATAAGCTAAAGTAATAGGCATATGATAAATTTCTCTTAGTTGATTTGGTTCTATCTACTACGTGACCGTTATCGACCAAGCGTGACAGAACGGAGGGGCGTATTATTTTGGTTATACTTTTAGCATTAATAAGAGCTATTGCATATCTAAAAAACGAGAAAATAATTCTGTGCAATGTTCATGATTGTTTGAATCCGAACTTTATTACTCCTATTTTTATTGTAACAGTAACATCATATGGTAAACCCCAGAAAAAAAATTTACAAGTCGATTATCACATCATTCTTTAATTATCCTACGAATGTACTTAGTCTTTAAACACGATACTGATGGAGTACTGTTATGTTAATTGTTTACATGAAAAGTATTAAGATCTGGGTGAGAGGTAAATGCCACCAGAGCTAAAACTATTGAACTGCCATACTCATTAACAGTCTTTGAACTGAACATTAGTAATAATAATCATAAAAGACAATGGACAACTGACCACGCTTATTTGTTACATTTAATGAGATAAAACATTTATTATACGGAAGTGTTAAACAGAATGAACATTATTATAAATTGGATAAAGTCAGTCAGTTGGTTAATAATAATAATGTGAAGTTTATCTGACATCTATTGAAATAAGTTTTTTTGAATAATAAGCTGGATTGCCGTTTCGACTGATATGTGGAGATTTGATCTACAGTATACGCAGTTGTCGGATAGTGTGACTGAATAATCATCTCAACAATTTCGAAACAAGGCTATTCATCACACCCACTGTATGGAAGCTATTATTGGTAAACAGATGATATTTGCGCGCTCACAAAAATGAAAATGGAGTGATTCAGGACATCATCTCACTAAAGAGAAAATCACTGGAATATGTTATAAATTATTTAGTCGAATATCAAAAACAAAATTTTTAAAACAAAACAAACCTACCATATTAATCAATTTTGGCTTTTTAAACGGTTGTTCAACAATGGGTTGGTTATCATCATCTGAAACAGACTGAATTGCAGTTGTAGATAAGGGGACTTGATTCTGATCTGTTAAATCTGGATCTTGACTCCAATTTGGTGTACTACTGTTATTTTCATCATTGATCGGATAAAGACTTTTAGAAATAGGATCCATAATTCCCGAAGAGTTAGGGAATTATTTGGTTACAATAGTGAATCTGTAAAAACAGCACCATTTTTTTTGAAAAAAATAGGGAGGTATACTTTGATAATGAATTTAACTAGATAGAAACCAGTTTAAAGCTTCTTGTTCATTGCTTTTATACACTAATACTTAAGATAAAAATAGGATATTATAACCAGTCACTTATCTTACTGATCTCATCTGACCTAATTAACAACACAAAAGTGATTATTACTCAGTGAAAATCGTCACGATTTCGGACTGTTTAAAGAGAAATGAAATGTATATTGTCCCAAGATCGGTAGATTTCCTAACTATTTGAATTGAATTTTCCTAAATGAAAATACATGTATCAACAGTCTAAATTATTACAAATTTGTGACCTTATCAGACTACTTAACATTTTTTAATTTGAACTGTAAGTATGAACGTTAGAAATATTTATTAAGTGGCGAAATTGTGTTTTTACTTACCACTTTATCACTAGTCGTTTTATTAGAGTTAATGTGCTCATCTCCTTAGATGGAGCAGCCGATAAATTGAACTGCCCCAACATTATTAATAATAAATTCATACAGATATTATGAATCGAAAACAAATATGTTCATTTCACTGGTTGAAATCATGAGTCAATTGAAGCTAGACCACCATGGAAAACCTGGAAGCACTGGACGGCCGTTTCGTCCTAGTATGGGACTCCTCAGACATTAACACCGTTGGATGCCGGCTCAGTGGTCTAGTTGGTTAAGCGCCTGGCTCGAAACTGATAGGTCCTGGGTTCGAATCTCGCGAGGAGCGGGATCGTGGATACGCACTGCTGAGGAGTCCCATACTAGGATGAAACGGCCATCCAGTGCTTCCAGGTTTTCCATGGTGGTCTGGCTTCAATTGACTCATGATTTCAACCAGTGAAATTTCCAAAAAATCTCCACAAAACCCATTCTGAAAATATATTCATTAATAATAAATAATGAAAATCAAATATAAACAACTTTCATACATACCGAAATTTGTTTAAATTATATCTAGTTCAGTCTCTTACAGTAGCACTGTCATGATATTGAAGCATGTTTGATTCTAAATAGTTTGAGCAATATCACAAGTTTGGACAAATAAATGATGGGAGAAAAGTGAACTTTTAAGTTCCGATCAAACTTAAATTATTGATTTTTGTTATTTAGTCATTTCATTAAAATGTAATACATCACAATACCCAGAAAGTTAAATTAATTACTTAATGAAAATTGATATCGGTTTCGTAATTCCGTCTTGGATATATCGAAAATTAAACACTCCAATAAAATGAATTCCTTTAACTGAGGAATATAATGCACAAAAAGTAATGGTAATTATATTGATATATAAAAATTCAGAACAGAGATTAGAACAGTGATCATACAACTAATTCAACTGGTACAAGTGGGTTATTTCCGTTTAATAACCACGTGCTGAATAATCAGTCCTGAGATCAAGGCTCATAATCTTTTGGAGAATAGGTGGTAAAAACCAAGTAAATAGGAACATATCAAAACTCATGTGTCTTCAATACAACCCCCACGATTTGAGTAACGATACACAAAAGTGTTGTGTACCCATCAAGACTAGCTTCATTACAAGACAGGGTCGTCATAGCCATTCAAAGTTGATAAATGGGCATAAATATCTCAACCAGACTGTGAAAGGACGATACAGTGTATAAAGTATAAAGGTGTTTCCATACTTATCAGTTCTTTCTGGGGAGTATTACAAATCAAGCACTCAACTAACAAACCAATAGATCAAACGTACGTGGGCTTTTAAGTTAGGTCCGTATAATTATTGGTTACATGATCAATCAATTCTACAAGTATACTATAAATGAAATCACATGGACAAACTGAAGATATCTTGTGACTTAAAATCTCAACAAATTTTTAATTCTAATTCAATACCATTATGTAATGATTTCGCCGGCAAAAAATAACAGCAATCATATTACTTTATCAGCGTGCAATAAACTAAATAATGTCAGGTAGTTCATATTTAGAAAGTAGTGGCATGAGCATATCCACAGCTCTTATGATTACATCTTAATTTTATTAACAGAAAGTAATTTGAAAACAAGCCATATTGTGTTAATATTGTTGAGAGTCTCTGAGTATAAAATTACATTTTGCGTATTTGGAGGCAAAACTTTGAACCTGTGAAAATGACTAAGCAAACGCATAAAGGTATTTTGAAAACATACACCGAGACGGTAAACATAGTTAGGATCTTTTTATAATAATGAGCGAATTTTAACTACTACATCCGATATGATTGACTGGTAGGAACTATATTGAGAAAAAAGATTTCAATCTCAATAGATAGATCTACACTGATGATATTGTAATTACGGCATCAAGTGAATGTGAACACTTAATAAGAAATGGAGCTTTTGATCCCTAAGGTCAAATAAATAACTTACAAATCGGAACAGCTCGTTATCGCTTCGTACCAAATCGGAAATTTGTATGCTATACCATTTAAGTAACTCAAATAATAGTAATTCTTATACGTCTGTTTCACAAAAAAAAACAATACTTAAGATCAGTGCTCATAACTGAAAATCCTTTACACCACATAGATTTTGAAGTAGACTAGACATGTTAGATTAAACTATATGACATTCCAATGAATATCTTAAATCTTTGTTAGAATGATCGATAGGATTGATTGTTTAACTTGTTGGTAATATATTCTACTACTGTATGCTCTCAAAGAGTATTATTATTTCAAAATAAGTAGAGGTGATATGCATTCAATGTATCGTATATTTGTTTCTCCTCTAAAATCGCTGGAAATTAAATCCTTGAATGAAATTTATTAGAAAGAAATTCGGTATGATGATGTACTAATTTAAAGGCAACATTCATTCACATGACTTTCGTATTAGTTCAGTGCAACATTAATTGTATTAAAAAAAACTCAATGTAATTTCTGTTTTCTTGACTTTTAAACTAATCTTTCGTGATTTTCGTCCAGTTCTTTCATTCAGCACATTGTTCACTCATATTAATCATGTGTGAAGTTCATTAAATGTAACAAATTACTTTACTATTAGTCACCACAATTAAATATGTATATAAAATATATCAAAATGATTAGTAATATTCTAGGGTCTCCATCAACAAATCTTAAAGACAAACTTAGAAGTCCATTCCTAGTTGACGAGCAGGTAAGAAGACAAGATTCAATTTGATTCATTGTGAATGAATTCATAGTTGAAAAATTATTAGCTTAGTGTACGGATGTATCGAAAAGTTAAATGTTATAAAGACTAAGAATCTATTGATCTGTGAAAGCATACAAATTGTAGGTTGGAAAAATAGTTCACCACACTAATAATTAACTATAACATAAGATCTAGTATAAAATGAGTGCTAGTCCAATTTACCAAAATTCAAATCGGTATGAGGAAAACTTTACTAGTGAAATGAGCAACGAATTTCCTTGTGTTATTTATCACAGATCATAAGGTGATGGTGTTTTGACTACTACATCTAAATGACGAAAACATGTAGGATGTAAGATGTGTATTAATAGGCCACAGTTCAACCTTACGCCAAATGTTTAAAATGTATCACAAGATGGAAAAAATCGAGTGTTGTTAGTTTTTTAATGCCTGGCATCCACATCGTGGAAGGATTTTTTTCTCAAGGACCAGAGAAGGAAATTGGGCAGGTAGTAGCCCTATCAAATTAGAAGTGTGACAAGATAGGTGTTACGTTATCATGTGAATACATTTGGATGCATTAGTATTTTGAAGACCTTACGATCCATGGATGGTCTAGTGTGCTACTCCTAGAGCCGATCTTTCCTAACTCCCTTCTGTTGTGAGAAGGCGGAACAGCTGGAGAAACTGTCTATTTATAGGACACACTAAACTACCATCACACGTCAAAACAATTGAGCATGACTCATTTGCTGCTTCTAGTCATAACGCTTTACAACAAGTATATCTGGCATGATAAAACGTACTCCCGCAGATATTTATAAACTAAGTGGAGAATCTAATCAGGTAGTAGGGCAAATATCACTGGGAAACCAATAAATTTATTTGGTACTTTGTATCCTACATAAAACTTCTATGTTAATTTTGATAGCGAACGTAACTATCTGTTTGAGTCGAAATAAAGAGTAGGCTTAGAATTAACTCAAACTATGACGGAACTTTTAGATTATCAACCAACGGCTAATATATATATATATATATAATCACAACATATACTTCTTGGAAAAAAACATTTACTGAAAGTCAACTTCGTGACGCAAACATGCATATTTATTCTATGAGGAAAAAGAGTATTTGACGAAAAGCATATTTCGGATTTTATTAAAAAGAAGGAATTTGTACAAATAGTAAACCGGAGTGTAAACGTTACAAAGATAAACAATTTCTGCTAAAAACGTTAGTTGAGTGATTATCTACAACTATACTTTTAGAAGTGAATAATGTCGACTACTAATTTCTGTTATTAGAACTTTTTGCAAAATCGATAGTATTTTGAACGGCACTAATCAACTGTTCAATCATTTGACATTGCTGTCGTAAATGAGGTGCGTACGCTGGCCACCGACAGACAGGACATTCAAATGCACCAGTATCTAACCACTTTCGAATGCAATGTTCATGAAAACCATGTCCACATGGAAGTGCACTTAGGCGTACACCTAAACGGAATTTCTGCCAACATACAACACATTCTTTACACGGTACAACCCATGATGGCCAATCGTTCAAAGGATTCGCAAAATTTATATCATTGGATGACACATATGATGACGAGGAAGAAGTGGACAACATAGAATTACTGGACAGTAAATTACTTCGTTTAGAAACTCTACGAGAATGAAGAAAACCGTTATTTAGGCATGCCTCATGATCAATAGTGTCCACATCTGAGGTAGAACTTGAACTTTGGGATACGGTGATTGGATTTGATAAGTGATTACTTCTTATATTTGGACGAAGATGAGTTCTATACCTTCGTTTTGTAAAAGATGAAGTTTTTGGATAAATACGATCATCACTAGTAGTATCTTCACATTCATCTTCAGCTTCATAATTAGTATCCACATTACATATGAGCTGCTTGGTGATACTAAACGATTTTCTTGTCTGAGAATGACACTGACTAGAATTTACACTGGTATGAGGTCTAGCATTACTATTACCAAGTGAACTTAAACAGTTCCAAGTGTACATATGTGCTGCAGTTTTATGGTTTACCGATTCATTATTTTCTCTATTCCCTTGATGATATACATCTGCTGATGAAAACGAAGCAATTGGATTCATTGAAGTTGATGTTAAATGATCAGTTTGTTGACTGAGAATATGATAAAGTCTGCGTAGTCTACGCAATAGACGATAGCCTTCTATGACTTCTGTATTTTCTTTATGATTTACTTTGTGTTGTAATAAGACTTGATGATAAACGTTCATTTGCACATTTTGATTGATTATTGAAAGTTTGATAGTGAGGATAACGAGTATCAGATTCTAATGTACTTGAAGTTGCAGAATCTGCTGAACCAGATCTTAGCTCAATATCTGATTGAATGATTAAACGAGACAATTCATCCCATAACTGATCAGGTGGTATTTGATTTAACCGTTCTCGAACTAAAACAGGATCCAGTCGATTAGGACGAGAATGTGAATTGTTAGTAAGTTGATTATTATGTCTTTCATATTTCGACATTACACAACTTGACAAAAATACAATAAACAACCAAATGTTAGCATAAATGAAAATAAATAATACCAGTTTAAATGACCTGATAGGATAGTAAGACGTAAATTGATTATAGGTGAGGATAAGACAAATGACCTTAATAAATAAAGAGCTAAATTAATAATAGGCAGAGAATAAGATAAACTTAACAGATTTAATAACGGTAAAATAGATAACAGAAGAAGAATATAAGCTGAGAACAAGTCTAGAAAAAACATTTTTATCCATTCTAAAATATGAGATATTATAAACGATTGTATATTGATTGATGATGAACTGTTCAGTTGATCACCATAAATTAATCGACGTTCATCGGTTGAACGATAATGATTATCAGTTGGTCTATTATTGTTATTAATAACTTCATAATGTTGATTAATATTGAAATTAGGAATATGAGATGTCCATCCTTGACGTGCTAGTCTAATTACAGTTCTAGCTAAAGCTGACCGACGGGTACCAGTACTAGTATGATGCCTTCCCACAACACCATGATTTACATAAAATGAATGTATAAGAATCGATAAAATTCTACCAGCTTCTATAGCACCATTAATTAAGACTAAAATTGTAGTTGAAAGTACAACAATCCAAAGAAAATCATCCGCCGAAGGATATAAAGAATGTAACAATATTTCAAGATTTTCATAGCTTAAATATTCCCTTTCGTTTAAACCAAACGAGTAACATTTACCTTCAGGTGTTAATATGAGAAAATGAGAATTAATGGTACAATTTAAATTGATTAACAAGTCATATACTGTGTTAATAGATGAAGCTGTAATTGGCCAATTATTAACTTTATTATTAATTAATGTGTGATTCTGCTTCACTGTTTCATTCGGTACAATCCAAAAGCGGACTCGACCAGTATATGTTACAGAAAGTGCACTTAAAACTAATGGTGGTTGTTGATGTGAGCGACTTAACTTCGACTTGACAGAGAACTCAGGAAACCAAAGAACATGGATTGGTTGAGGCCGTTTCAATAACCAAAATGACAATAAATGTTTTAAATAATCCATTTTTATCAATCGGTCAATCGATAATATTGAATTCACTGGATAAATGCTGTTTATGTTATTCAGTGGTTTTACACGTTCTGCTAACACTGATACAATCCACGTGTGAATACCTTCTAAGATGTAGTTACTTGATTCATGATCAATAATTGATGTAGATTTTGGGTCTTTAGGCAAAGGTCGAAATTGTACTATATCTTTCATACGTTCACCACCTTTGGGTAAGGCAAGAATAAGGTCAGGATTAATGAAGCCACGATCAATACAAAGGCTGAAATAAAAAGTAAATTTATCATAAAATGATGTGGTACAATATAAGAAGCAATTCATTGTTTCAAAAATTAAAAAAATATGTTTATGTACGTCCCTTCGTTTCTAACATTTTATTAATTTAATAACAATTTGTTTAGCAGAGAACTGGGCAGTTACAACAAAAACCAGAAGTTCTACAATACGTTCAAAAGGTACTAACAACGAAAAATGCTTATAGGTTGAACAAGGTGACATTTTAAGAGAACGAGTTTTCAAAACTTTTGAAGTTGACGCCTTTGACATACATCGAATTATTTGGATTATAAAGGAACTAGCAAATATTCTAATGTATTTAATATTATGTAAAATTCTAGGTAGATCTTCGCGGGCAGTATTCTAAGTGATCCTATTTTGCTACCACAAGTTTTGTCACGGAGTCACAAAATTACCCACATGTTTTGGGGTTGATTTAATAATCAGATTGTAGCTCAAGAGTTGATTTAAAAAAGATCACTAACGGTTAACTGATTTGTTTCGTAAAATATTTTGAACAGCAATGCAACCCTATGCAATCTTAGTGAATTGATTAAGGTCTGGAAAGCTATCACTTAGTTCAGACAAAGCTTATGAGATTTATTAGCAATGTTTTACTCTTAGAAGAACGCTATATTTTTTTGGTGGTAAACTGTTGCATCACTACAAAACCATTATGGCTGAGACAGTTTCTCATGAACAGTTTTCAAAAGCACGTCCCCTAGTTAAAAATAAATGTTCCAATCTTGTGAGCTAAACCCCCTTATAAAGAGAAAGATGATAACACGAATTTATCCATGAATAATGTTCAAACATATGCTAGTGGATGGGAGATAATTTCATTTTCCACCTTTCTCTAAGTGATAAGGCTAATGTTTTTGATATTGAGTTGTTTTCTACATCAAATGAACTGAAGTGGTCTACAAAATCCTATATGGATAACTGGATAATGCTTATACATTACACAAAAGTGCAAATACGAATCCTAAGCGTTGTGTTTTTCACAAAACAGAATGAAAGGATATCTATCCATGAAATAATAAAAGGTACCTTATATTACTGAGATGATTGTTTCAAATAAAAAGTTCATACCTGTGTAGTTTTCCACAGTTCAGTAAACCCATCTTAAATCCAAAGGACTGATACCGATAACATAAAACAGACCAAATCTGCTCAGTAACAACTGATGAAGGTTTTATTCTGGATGGAGTTGTGCTCGTATGATCTCCCGCGATTGATGAAGAGAGAGACTGTGGAGAAGCTACGGCTAAAAGCCAAACACTATCCTTTTTATCTTCAACATGTTCAATAAATTCAGATTCACTGTCAAATACGATGCTATTTGGTTTGAAACTAGATGACGTGTAATCCAACTTCAAAGACTGATGAAATGGATTAACTAGCTTTCTGTACAGAAGTGCATCTGGGGAGTTTGAGAAATTCGTGTTTGCAAACTTCAACTGCTCAGCTTTGGCATTTGAAAGTTCACTCGAAGTAACGAGACCTAAAATGAAACAATCAGTCCAAAGATTATAATGCATGCAAACCTGAGTTACAAAGTATTCAACCGAATAAACTAAACCCTCCAGACATTAAGTTGGCAAGTATTTAGCTACGACGTGGATTATGAAAAGCTGTTAAACGAGCGGTAATAATTAATTGTTTAGTGAACATCCCTAAAGCCCTTAGTAAGGAGGAACAAGAAGAAAATAAAATATTTTGATAAAACATATTCAATCATTTTAAACAACTTTGAACCTGGGACGCATGTGCATCGGTCCACATCACCACACCACATCAATACAGTGAGATAAACCTATCAAGACAAATACCATAGCAGAAGTAGTAAAAACGTTAACGGTAGTAGATAATGCTATATGATCTGAGAATACGCTTGCGGAATAAAAGGCACGAGATACTTCAGAACTCAAAATTTATGGTGAGATAAAGAGTAAATGTATCTGGGCCATCGCGCCGATTCTAATCCATATCGCTCAACCACTCCAACCACTGACCATAGCAACCGTGTGAACCCTAATCAGAGTTTTCACCTATCTACTATCGTGTGAAATGTTATTAACGAAAGCACACGAGTTTAATACCATAATGAATGACCATGATTTTCAAGTTTTATTCTACTAAGCGATCAACGTTTATAGTACATTTGATGAATATTTGTATATTTCTCGAATGACGCCAATGTCAAGCACTTAAAATGCTGGATGTACTCTAGTTGGTTCAAAACAATAAACAAATTATTTTAGACCTAGTAAGAACACCACCAGCGAAAGATAACATATTTATCCATCTCGTTAGAAGAATCTGACTGAATATGTACAAATTAACATTTTTAGAATGAAAATAAATTGGAACAAATCAGTTGGGACAAGAATTCTAATAATGAAGGTATGGTGAAGGAGAAATAGCACCGCCACTAACACTAGGATGAAATGGTAACAAAACTAGGCTAATCATAAAAAACAAATTGCTTTATATGGCACAAGATGATTTGGATTTTCGCACGACTACAGATCCAGTTTTCACCAACGTGACGATTTTAAGCTCGACAATACAATCCAATTCCATGATGTTTATCAACATAAATGACTAACCTCCCCAAGTTCACTTATGGAAGTTTTGAGTTCCGAATGTTCGTGGAGTAGTAGGCACATATGTGCCTGGTCCTACGTTGTAGCTGACTGACTGAGTTAAATAATTGGTTCGACCATCCTCAAATCCACATCCAAAACTCCAGCATCTTTCCTCATAAATAACTTATCCCAATGTACTTTTTTAGTTTAACTAAAACTATTTACTTACAGTGACCAGTGTATAAAATGACGGGAAAATATCGCATAGTGATATTTCGTTTGTATCAAGTTACAGAAAATTATGAGATGGAATATCTATTCTGAATCTTAAGTGTACGGTAATGACCAACAACAACTACAACTAACCTCCAGAAAATACAAAATCACTTGACTATATCGAAAGACTATCAAAGCCACAATGATAATATCCAAATAGTTAATATTTTATCACAGCTAAAATGGTAAATCATACTTATTGCTTTTTTGTGTAGTGAAGTCAACATTGAGTACTAATTTAATCTTTAACCCATCACATCAAATGCAGCTGGTGGTAGTTGGAGTGACAATAATGACAAAGACTTCATTCCAAAGTTGTCAGACACTATATAAACAGAGACTAACAATAGTAGAGAAAAACAACACTAACGACGGTAAAAAGCTTTATATACGAGGAAAGATACAAGAAAGTTACGGGATGGAAAACATAGAATAACGACCTTATGTTTTAAATGATAAAGTAACGTCAACATAAGACTATTTATTTGGAATAGGGAATTCATCAAATGAAGTATTTACAGTGGTCATACATAGGTACACGCGTGTCCCAGAATATGAGGCACCCAGCTTCCAGACAATGGTTTGAAGGTGAAAATCTGGAACCACTTAGTTCAGAGAGAGTAGTCAGCTTGTAATTCTTATCTCGGCGCAAAATGTGTGATTCGAGATCAATTATTCGAACCAGTTTTTAGTGTAATTACAATAAGTCAAAGGGATCTATGGTGGGATGCCTTTTAATTTCAGACGCTAAATATCTTCCCACGAACAAAAATTTACGAAACAAGATTATGTACACAACTTGTCATATAAATAAATAAATTAAAAATTTACAGTCGTGCAAGACTACCGTCAAATACGTGAGGTATAAAAAGATAAAATAAGTTAATTTTGTAAGCAGGCAGTTTTATTCTGTCCCCTCACAACCTCGTTTTTGTTGTGTGGAACACAAATACTCGGTGCACCCTTTTACCGGAGTTTATGTGTTCAAATAAGTAAATGCAGGCGGTTCTGATAATTTTTCAATGGAGCGGTAGTAAATTTAGATAAGGGTTTGTAAATAAGGTTGAGGATACATCAAGAAAAATATTAGTACAAGTACCAAACCTAGAGCATGCCTTCTATTTACTGAAAAAATCATTTCTGTATTCTGTACTATAATCCACGCTGTTCATTGAATTCTTTATTTGCTGCTCTGAATATGACCACAACTACAATTACTGCCATTAAAATATGCACACACAAGAAACAACTTCAAAGATTAAACTACATACAGAAAATAAAAGCTAATACTTTTTACAAATGTCTTGTCACATCACCAAGATTAGATTTTCTTAAGGCGTATCTTCGATGCCTAACCTTTTCTGTTAACACTAATATTGTTATTATCTTTATCATTCTGGAGTTTGTCGACATGACCTGTCCGTGCTAACAGGGTATGGGAACTTGAAACAGTACATGCATGTGGAGGGTTCTGCATTGTGCTTAAATGACTGACTTGGTTTCTAAATGTGTATCCATGTGTATAATTATACCTAAAGCTACAAAACATACACCTTCACTGTACTTAGGACCCAAACCATACATGAATACAGTTTCTCAGTAAATTTCAAATAGGTTTCGGAGATCTTAAGGATTAAACAAAGAATTTAACTACCTAGGTATAAACCAAATTACCGGTCGAGTTAACTGCAAACTCAATATCATTAAGATCAAGGGAAGAATAAAGCACTCCACGTTGATTCAAAACAGCTCTTAGTCGAGAAACAGTTTTTGGACTTCGTTTTTCATTAATATCTTTTCTAAAGTCATCATTTTTAGGAAGTTCAGTTTCAAAATCCGCAATTGCTTCGTCCAGAAGTTTGTACATGTACGCGGCCGAACAGATCGAAAGTGTAAAACATGTTATTAGACTAACATGTGAACGGAGACGCTTGAGTTCAGAGTGTTCGGGTGAAACTGTACTCAGCTGAGGACACATCTACGAAAAGAAGAAAAACTACGTCAAAGTTCGCGACGTCAAGCACATAAACGACCTCAAAATTTATGCATTGAAACAGTTAAGTTCAGATGGTTTTTAGGAAACAAATTGTAACAGTAAATTAATCATTTTCCCACGTATCTTGATGTCAAATATAGTTTTTAGTTTCTAATTTTACTTAATGAACTGAGTCTTGTCTAACGTTCTCAATTACGTAATTGGAATCGACAGTTTGCCGGAAGTCTGTGCAGTTTGGCTGAGTGTGTATGTTTCAAACCATTACAAAACTCGAGTCAAGCTACCTTCACTTCATGGCACATTCAGTTTGTGGGATGACTTTATTCGAAGACATGATATACACACCTATGATCTCCACATGGTATATGTGATTTTTAGTCGTTAATAGTAGTGTCTAGAAGGGACTTCAATCGATAGGACTCAACCATTCCATGGCTATAAGACGGAAAAACACTGATAGATGCTCGTTCATTAACCTGTTGTAAATACGTCAGTTCTTTAAGCTGTCTGTAAGCCTGAATAATCCAGCGAGAGCTATGATAGTGGATGACCGGCTTCCTTGTGATCACAGAAACACTGTCCTTATAAGTGTCAAGCAACGCGAGACCCAAGTCGGCATCTTTCTCACAATCGCCCTACTTACTTCCTTACTCTTGTTACTCCTCGCGGAGGAACATAGGTCACTCACCATCATTCTCCATCCAACCCTGTCCTAGGCAATGCTTTCCAGCTCATCCTAGATGTTATTCATCCTTTTCATATCTGACTGTATTTCCTAACGTAATGTGTTCTTTTACCTTCCTCTTTTCCTCTTCCCTTCAGGATTCCAAGTTAGGGCTTACCTCGTGATGCAGTTTGGTGATTTCTTCAATGTATATCCTATCCATTTCCATCGTCTTTTCACAATTTCCTCTTCAGCTGGAAACTGGTTTGTTCTCTCCCACAGAAGGCTGTTGCTGATGGTATCCGGCCAATCGATGTTGAGTATCTTGCGTAGACAGCTATTTATAAATATTTGTACCTTCTTGATGGTGGTTGTTGTAGTTCTCTGAGTTTCAGCTCCGTACGTACAGTAGAACTGCCTTGACGTTCGTATTAAAGATTCTCACTTTGATATTGGTTGAAAGTTGTTTTGAGTACCATATGTTTTTAAATTGAAGGCATGCGGCTGTAGCGGTAAATAAATCCCCAAAATAAATAGCCCTGTAAGTTTTCGACATTGGATGCTGACCATATGTTTTAGTGGACTCATCTAGCTGAAGGCGCTCGGTCAGGCATCCGCACCAGATCACGTGTGGTAACGCCGTGCTCAACATCAACCGCAATCGCTAGCCAGATTAGATCAGAGAATTCCGATATATTGGTCATCGCCAAATATACTCTTCCGATCTCCTCGACTCTGTCTTTTGATTTCTCTTGGTGGGAACGAAATATATTAGGTGTTACTGGTAGAAGCGTTGTCAAACACTGAATACCTGTGACATCATCATTGGTGAGACCGTCGTGATCTGGTACACCTTATTGCAACTGTGAGTCTGTTCCTTTTTGGGATTTTTATATATCATTGCCTTATTTTTTATTTTTTTAAACATTGTGATTTTTTTCGTTTTTTTCTTGGATATATATATATTTTCCCCTCGTTCATTATCGTACTTCATATTTCATCATGACTGAACAGACACCTAAAGTACTCAAGCTTAAGACCTTGTCCCCACCTTCGTTTCAACTGATGCCTTTCTGGCCCGACAACATCGAAGCCTGGTTTTGCTACGCAGAAGCCGACTTCTCCGAGCACGGCGTGATCGACACACGTGCACAATTCCTCGCAGTAGTCAAGGCACTACCGCGCGAATTCAACAGGTACGTAACACCTAGTATGTTTACTAGTGATGTTTCCGATCCTTACGAAATCTTAAAACGCTCGATTCTTAAACGAGGAGACCTAACCGATCGACAAAGGTTAGATCAACTCTTCAATAACATCGACCTGCAACACGGTTCTGCGACGGACATGTTGCAACGGATGAGAGAGGTTATAGGCCCAAGAACTTTCGACGAAGGTCTATTCAAACAACTCTTCTTGTCAAAACTTCCCCAACAGGTGCAAGCAGTTCTGGTCTCGTTCCAGAACAACGCCTTAGACGAACTAGCTGCATCTGCCGACCGCATTCTAGAAATTACGAAACCTTCTACTACCGAGGTATTTTCAGTCAAAGAAAAGCCTCACACGACTCAGAATGACATAACCGACTTATGTCACACACTCACGCGTTATCTTAGTCTTCGTACCGACCGTAAGAGATCGCGCACACCACGTAGAAGCATTTCTCGTAAGCGATCTGTCTCTAGACCACGAGAGACAGATAACCCCGACTGGTGCTGGTATCATAACCAGTATGGAAAGTTTTCCAGAAATTGCAGAAAACCCTGCAATTTTCCCAACACGAAACCGACTGATCGAAAAACAATTCGGGAAACTTCCAAGCCGGCACGCGTTAACGGCAACCGTAGCCGGCGAACAAGCCGTCTGTTATTCGTCACAGATGTGACAACGAGAGTTCGCTACCTCGTCGACACTGGCGCAGAAGTTAGCGTTCTCCCAGCAAATCCTAACGACCGACTTCACGAATCGACCCTAAACTTACAGGCGGCAAACGGAAAACCGATCGCTACGTATGGCAAAAGGTACGTTTACCTTAACGTGGGTTTACGCAAACCCATCCACTGGATTTTCGTTGTTGCAGATGTTTCTATGCCAATCATTGGTATGGACCTTCTACAACACCACAATCTGATCATCGACACTCGCAAACGGAGGCTAGTAGACGGAAACACTAATTTGTCCGTTTGCGTAACTTCTTTTACTGGTTGCAGAGTATCCCCAGTCACAGTTAAGCATATGATAGACCCACTCTATCAACCACTACTCGATAAGTACCCTGGGATACAACAAACGCAACCGAAACTACCGTGTGTAACCAGCAATGTTACACATCACATCACGACTACAGGACCACCTGTATTCTCTAAAGCACGACGACTAGCTCCTGAAAAGCTAAGGTTAGCGAAAAACGAATTCGATCACATGATGGACTTAGGAATCATACGACCGTCAAGTAGCCCATATGCATCTCCGTTGCACATGGTCCCTAAAAAGGACAGCAACGATTGGCGTCCAACTGGTGACTATCGGCGATTGAACGCGAAAACCATTCCCGATCGTTACCCGTTGCCTCACATTCACGATTTGACAGCTACCTTGAAAGGTACAACTGTCTTTTCGAAAATCGACTTGGTTAAAGCGTATAACCAAATCCCTATGGCTACTGACGACATACCGAAAACAGCTATCATAACTCCCTTCGGACTCTATGAATTTTTGCGAATGCCTTTCGGTCTAAGGAATGCTGCTCAAACATTCCAAAGATTCATAGACGACGTTTTTCGAGGTCTCAACTTCGTACACGCGTATGTTGACGACTGTCTAATCGCAAGTCCGGACAGAGAAACACATCTCAAGCATCTGGATCTTGTTTTCGAACGATTACAAAAACATGGCATAACTGTAAACGTTCAGAAATGCCAATTTGGAACCGACTCGTTAGACTTTCTGGGACACACTATCGATGCTCAAGGTATCCGACCCCTTAGAACCAAAGTGGCGGCCATTCTGGATTACCCAGAACCGACCACCGTCAAGCAATTACGCACGTTCAACGGCCTGGTAAGTTTCTATAGACGTTTCATACCCAAATGCGCATTACTTATGAAACCTCTGACCGACCAACTTCGTGGAAATGCGAAATCCATTAATTTGGACGACACCGCACGAAAAGCATTCTCCACAGTTAAGGAACTGATCGCTAAAGCAACAATGCTCGCACATCAGGACACCCGAGCACCCATTAGCATCGCAGTAGACGCATCCGACTCGGCAATCGGAGGAGTCTTACAACAATGGGTTAACAACTCCTGGCAACCCTTGGCATTTTTCTCTAGAAGGTTGCTAGACACCGAATCGAGGTACAGCACATTCGGTAGGGAACTCCTAGCTATGTATTGTGCTGTACGGCATTTCCAACACTATATCGAAGGCCGTGAATTCACTCTTTTCACGGACCATAAACCGCTCACTTTCTCGTTAAGCTCTCCTTCTGACAAGTACTCTCCCCGTGAGTCTCGACAACTGGACTACATTTCGCAGTTTACTTCAGATATTCAACACATCTCTGGAGCAAACAATGTAGTTGCAGACGCCTTATCTCGCATAACTTCCTTGAACAGTTTCCAAGGAATCGACCTTCTTAAACTCGCCGAGCTTCAAAAAGAAGACACTGATCTTCAGCACGAGTTATCGTCCACAACACTTAAACTACGCATCAAACAGATGGGAACAGGTAAGGAAACCTTACTTTGTGACACATCTACAGGTAGGGATCGCCCAATCGTGCCGAAACATTATCGACGCAATGTCTTCAATACATTGCACAAACTTTCTCATCCAGGTGTTCGTGCAACCATCAAGCTTATAGCAGAACGATTTTGCTGGCCTGGCATGAATAAAGACGTGAGGGAGTGGGCACGCTCCTGTGTAAGCTGCCAAAAATCTAAGGTTATCAGACACAATAAATGTCCCTTAGGCTCGTTTAAAACTCCCGATGCTCGTTTCGACCATGTTCATCTGGATTTGGTAGGACCTTTACCAGATTCAAATGGATACTCTTATCTCTTAACCTGCGTAGACCGTTTCACTCGATGGCCAGAAGCAGTACCTATCAAGGACATCACTGCTGAAACAGTGGCCCGCACATTCGTCGAACGATGGGTAGCAAACTTCGGTTGCCCTTCAACCATCACTACAGACCGCGGACGTCAGTTTGAATCTGATCTTTTCCGTCGTCTGACCACACTTTTAGGAATCACTCGCTTCCGAACGACCGCCTACCACCCACAAGCAAACGGGTTGGTAGAACGTTTTCACCGACAACTGAAAGCTTCGCTATCAGCTGCAAACGTTTCACAATGGACCGACGCT